AGTAGCCACGTGAGTAGAGTACACACTACTGTTTCGGTAGAAGAGGAGGGAGGTATATGCAGAGTGAAGGCAGCAGATTATTAGTGACTATTCTGTTGAACTCAGCAAGTAAAAATAACGTAAGTGGTGGGGCTCACAGTTGCCGCTGGCCCATCCCCTACCCACACCACCGTTACTCAAGGTTACATGGGCAGGAGAACTTGGGGCCACACAGGACAGCAGCTAGGCTGGCCAGCGCCAGATCCCTAGGGCGATGGTCTCTGACCGGGAGCTGCAGGAGGTCCTGGGTTCTTGGATGGCGAGGGAGGTGCTGGCACCAGCCTCTGGTCCCCCTTTGTCCTACATCCCCTCCTACCTGGTTTTCACCAAGTAATGTATTATCTGAACCACACTGGCTTGTATTTTTCCAGTTAAGTTAAGCCATAAGCTGGTTTTGTGGCCCAGGCCTTCTTGGGATTGTGGTCAGTCTTTCTGTTCCCTCCCTCCTACCTATCTTCCAATTCTTAATCCTTAACCCATGCCCCCCTGGTACCCTTATCTGGGTGGTACTTGTTTACATGATGGTCCTTTTCTGTTTCTGCTCCTAGAGTCTCTCTCTCCCATGGGCCAGGAGGGAGGCCTGACCCCTCTGCCCAGGAAACTTCTAAAGCCTCTGACTTGCTTCACGCTGCAGGATTATAATGGCTATTGCTTGGAGAGCACTTATTAAGTCCTAGACACCATTATAAGTGCTTTTCATTGAGTATCTCAGTTACTCATTCAAATGTATGTATTGAATGTTTATTAAGTGACATAAGCACTTCTTTGGGCCTGGACACATAGCAGCAAGCAAGACAAAGTTTTTACACCTGTGGAGCTGAGTAGGAGAGATGAACAACAAATGTATAACATACTTTCAGTAGTGCTAAGCGCTAGGAAGAGAAATAAAGTGAATTAAGGTAGCAGAGACAGATAGGGATTTAAGGTGTAGGGCATCTGGGGATGGTAGGTAGGACATCTGGGGATGAGCCTGAATGAAGGGAAGGAGTGATTTCTGACAATAGTGGTGGGAAAAGCATTTCAGGCAGAGGGAACAGCAAGTATGAAGGCCTCAGGTGGGAACATGGTGAGCAAGAGGAAGTGAGTGAGTGGAGGCAACGAGGTCAGAAGGGCAATCTGGCTCACACCAAGGAGGGGTGTTGTAGGCCACGACAGAAACTCTGGATATAGTCTATGGAGCTCATGGAGGGAGCTGAGCTTAGGAAGTTGATAGAATTTTTCGTGTTCTACAGATGAAGGGGTTGAGGCTGAAAGAAGTCACCCAGTGAGTAAGGTGCAGACCCCAGTGTTGTACAGACTGACCCCCACTGCCAGGATGCAGGGTCTGAACCCTTCTCCAGGACACCAGTGCTGACATCCCAAAGACTGGCTAAGGGAGGGGACAGGGCTGTCCTTCCACAGGTCCCTCCCAGGCACATGCCAGGGCAGGCATGGGTTGGCAGGACTCCTAGAGGGGATCTCAGGTTCCCCACAGTGGGCAGGGTGGCAGTGGCTGAGTATCGTGCCAGCTGGACCCAAGGAGGCGCTGACGTGGCACAAATATCCCAGCTCCACACCTGCCCACTGTCGATGAATCGACTGAATCACCCAACTGAAAAATGAACTCGAACCCACAGAAGGTCACCGGGAGCTGCACGTCTGGAGCTGAGGCTGCTGGGCACTGTCGCCCTTACCCCAGCGCTGGGGGCCCAGCTCCAGCCTCTCCCAGATGAACACTTGTGCCCTCCAACCCAGGAAGCCCAGGACCTCCTGGGGGTCTTCCATGTTGCTGCCTCCCCTTGCCTTACCTTGGTTGGCACACCTTCTCTCAGGCCCAATGACTCATGCCTTGTCTGTTCTTTTGGGATTTATTTATCAGGTTTTTTTTTTTTTTTTTTAAATTTTTTTTTTCAACGTTTTTAATTTTATTTTTGGGACAGAGAGAGACAGAGCATGAACGGGGGAGGGGCAGAGAGAGAGGGAGACACAGAATCAGAAACAGGCTCCAGGCTCCGAGCCATCAGCCCAGAGCCCGACGCGGGGCTCGAACTCATGGACCGCGAGATCGTGACCTGGCTGAAGTCGGACGCTTAACCGACTGCGCCACCCAGGCGCCCCTATTTATCAGGTTTTAACTGTGCTCTTAGGACGTTCAAAATCTAGCTGGGCTGGGGGTGCTGGTATGAGGACTTTCGAGTCCATGAGAGTCAGGTACCTAGAGAAATATATAGCTGTACTGGGCATACAGTGTAAACTTCAGAAGGGTAGGATTTTTGTTTCATCCATAGGGCATCCTCAATGCCAAGAATAGAGCCTGGCACACAGTAGGTGCTCATTAAATAGTTGTCCAATGAATGAATACATTCATGAATGAATGGGGCCATGGTTAGGCTAGGCTGGGCACGGAACTAACATGACTGGTGCGGGGGTGGGGGGTTGGTTAGTCTTTCAACTTTGACTGCACATGGGAATCACCTGGAAAGCTTTACAGTCTGCTAACTGGGTCCCACCCCCAGAGATTCGGATTGGACCACACTGGGGTGCACTGTGGGAACTGGGAGTGATAAAAGCTCCCCAGGAGATTTTAACGTACAGCTGGGGCCGAGCACCTCTGTCCTAGGATTCACAATGGAACACTCCAAGAGCATGGGAGGGGCTACTGCTTCAGAGCCACCTGAAGTCTCCTCCCAGGTGCTCTTTGTTCGGTGAGTGGGGAGGAGAGTCTGTCCCCTTCCTCTGGCATCCTGCCTGCCAAGCCTATGTTGAACACCGCCCCCCCTCCGCCTTCCATAGTTCTCCCTATTTCTGCTTCCCTGCCCTCCCACATCTTCCTGGGGACTCACCCCTTTCACCGCTGTCCCTTGCTGCTGCTCCCCTCCTGACCTTGATCAACTTAAAGGGTTGATCAGCCCATCAATTAATTGTGTCCTAATCCAATCTTGGCTTGGTTGGAGAGAGGGCAGTAAATCCAGCTGGGTAATCATGCCCTGATATTTGTGTAGGGATAATTACTATCTCTCAGGCCTCACTTGGTGGCAAGATGAGATGAAAACCCATAAAACACCACTCGGGGCTGTGGCTCATTGTTTCTTGGCTGCACAAGGCTGGCTGCCAGCCAGTCAGCCCCGCCTGTGTCGGCCCCTGCCCCTGGCACGGGCCCCAACCTCTTCTCCTCCATTCATGCCACTGGCAGGGCTCAACATCAGGGCAGTCTAGGGGCTGGATTCTGGCCTGGCCTCAAAAACCAGTGGGGGCAACATTATGGGCCCAAGGAAAGCTAATGTGTGTGCTCGGGCTGGGGAAGAGGTGGGGAAGGTGAACCCCAGAGCCAGGCAATCACCTGCCTCTAGGAGATTGGGAGGGTCCAGGATGGTGAATACATAAAGTCTGAACTATAGGGTGTTGTCTAGACCAACCGAAGAGGCTGCTGCCATCTGGAAGAGTCCAACGCATGTCCCACCTGGCCCCTTAGGGACATGAGGCTCTGAGTGCCCCAGGAGGACATTATGGCCTGGGACTTCCCAGCAGATGTGGCCCCATGGGAATGGACTTCATTCTAGTGGGCTGAGCTCAGGCTTGAGAGAATGGGAGAGTCAAGGGCTGGGAACCATTTTGATATTTAGCCCCAAGTACATAGTCCCCCAACTTGTGCAACACTAGGCACCCACTATGAGTCAGGCTCTCCACTGGGTCCTGAGGACATAGGATTGAGCAAAGCCATGGAGTATCTTTTTTTTCTTTTCTTTTCTTTCTTTCCTTTTTTTTTTTTTTTTTTTTTTACTTATTTAGAGAGACAGAGAGAGAAAGCGAGCATGAGTGGGGGAGGGGCAGAGAGAGAGAGGAGACAGAGAATCCCAAGCAGGCTCTGCACTGTCAGCACAGAGCCCCATCCACGAACCATGAGATCGAAATGAAGAGTTGGACACTTAACCAAATGAGCCACCCAGGTACCCCAGGGCTTGGGTGTATCTTAATTAAAGAGTGGATCTGGAGTCAGACCCCGGGGTTTGAATCTTGGGACTTACAAGTTTTGTGGCCTTGTGCCAGTCATGTGACCTCTGTGCCTTGGTCTCCTCAGCTATAAAGTGGGATGCCCAGAACCTACCTAAATGAGTTGTTGCAAGGCTTAGATGAGATGATTAATATAAAGTGCTTGGATCTAGGCCTGGCACACAGTAGGTGCTACTTAAGTATTAGCTGTTACCATTATTGTTACTATTACTTAGCCTTCTGGGCATCAATTTTCCTCAGCCATTCCTTGGTTTGTAGGGCCTTGCTACTCAAAGTGTGGTCCCTGGACCAGCAGCATCATCATAGCCTGGGAGTATGTTAGCAATGCAGGATGTCGGGCCCCACGCAGACTTGCTGAGTCAGAATGTGCATTTATACAAGACCCCCAGGTAAGTCAGATGAGACACTTTGGGCTGGGAAAGGCTCCATGAACTCAAGTCCGTCTTCTTCCAAGTTGTATCCCCAGCCTCTAGTGCCTCTAGTCTGGAATGGAGTTGGTGCTCAGCGGGAATTTATGGTGTGAGTAAATGAGCTCAGCTAAAAGCTGTGGGGGGCCCTTGAAGGATTTCAAAGCATTTTGAAAGGTCCCCTAGAAGCAGCATAGAGGGCGATTCCGGGGGGCCATCTGTCCAGTGAGCAGTGGAGGGAAAGGAGGGGAGGGGTTAGGAGGACTGGGGGGCATGAGGACAGAAAGTCTGAGGGAGAGAACGGGTCTCCTCCATTCATGCTCCAAAGTTTCTAGGCCCAGGGCCTGGGAGCTGAGAACAAGCTTCATTTACAAGAGAAGAAGGGGTCCTCCTGGGGGTCTCTGCTGGGACAGAGCGAGGTGCTGGAGGCAGCAGGGGTCTATGCCTGGGGGAGCCCGTGACAGTAGCCTGAGAAAGGCCAGGGCCCGGAAGGCCCTACCTCCAGCTGGTGTTGGGAGGAAGAGGGTGGGAAGCAGGAAGAGGCCCAGGGCCCCACACCCTTACCTGAGAAGGCATTATTGGTGTTGAGGAAGTAGATCTCCTCACGGCCATCCCCGTCAATATCGCAGGCTGTGACCCCGATAGCATTCCCTTGCCGGTCCCGCAGTGCATAGTAAGGGGAGCTGCGCTCATCCACTGCGATGTTCACCAGTCGCTTTTGGGCCCGGTCATACTTCAGAACCAGGTTGGGGCCGTTGTACCTGGAGGAGGTAGGGGGAGGGGGTGTTGAGGAGGAGCAGCTGGGCTCACCTGGGGTCCCTGCCCCGCCCCCCCCAGCAATGGGGCTTGGAAAGTCCTCCCAGACAGGTCAGTGGGGGGGGGGGGGCGCAATTCAGTCCTGGCTCATTTAGGAGTCCCTGGGTGTTTGGTGAGTGTCCCTGAATCAGATACAGACTCACTTAAAGTAAGAGTCAGCTGGGCCCACATGGGACACAGTATGAGAAGCAGAGTGGCACAGAGGGACGGGAAGCCCGTGACAATCCCCTTACCACGGGCTTCACTGAAGAAAATGACCACCCCCCCTAGATCTACCTTGCCCATTTCAATGCAAAAGACACTTTCATATTTATGATCTCACTAATTTAAATCTAATAAGCAAGTGGGGTGGGCATGGGAGGTTGTATTACTAATGCTTTTCACAGACGAGGCAACCGATGAGCTGCACTGGAGAAAATGAGGGTCAGGGTGCCGTTCCCCAAGGTAATGCAGCTAGTAAGTGTCAGGTGCTAGGTCCTGGACGCAGGCACTTGCTGCACAAACGAGCCCTGGAAGAGCAGAGGCTTTGCTGCTGAGGTTTGGAATGACTCTTTCCTGACAGAGCCCCGGCATTTAAACACAGTAGCATGAACTGAGATTACAAACACATTGAAAGTCAGTGGGTGGATCCGTTGGATCTCTTTTTCTAAGGGACTCCATATGAAAAGATTAAAATGCTCATCTATTGTCATCTCTCTGGTCTCATTCTCCTGCAGCCACCCAGTCTCTTGCTGCACTGAAGCCCCAGGCATGTTCTTGCCTCAGGGACTTTGCACCTGCTGTTCCCTCTGCCCAGGAGCCATTTCCTCCAGATATCCACGTGGCTGTCTCCCTGGCTCTGTTGTTGCTTCTCAGTGAGGCCTTCCTGCCACATTCCTGAAACCTGCAAACACTCCCCACCCCACTACTCTTATCCCTCCTCCCTGCTCTCTTCCCCTGAAGCTTTTACTAGCAGCAGACCGTTCCCTATCTTCTTGTTTATCTCTTCCTTCTCTGTCTGATCCCACTAGAATATCAGCTCCAAGGGCAGAAGTTTTTGTCTGTTTCGTTTGCCAGGGCTTAGAACAGTCCCTGACACACAATAGGTGCTCAATAAATACTTGTTGAATGATTGAATGAATGAAACCTCAGAATCCATGTCTGAGTCATAAGGGTTTAGGTGTCCCACAGTCGATTTCTTCCCATTGCCTTTCCATCTGTGGAATGCGCCATGCCCAAGGTCATCCTTGGGAGGCATAGCCGTGAATATCTGAAGATCTTCTCCCCCCTCTAGGGAACACCAGCTCGCCAGGCTCTCCTAAGGAACCCGGCCAACGTCCATCCATTAGTCCCGGCCTCCTGCTTTTGTTTTAACCTAAGCGTGTACATCCTGAGTGACGTTTAGCTGCAGGCCTCCGGCTGTCCTGGCCCAGAACACTCAGGGGGTGGGGATGGGGTGAGCGGAAAGACCTCGCCAAGGTCTTTGAGAGAAATCACTTCTTGTTTTCCTGAAACTGATCCAACTTGGGCCTCTCCTCCATCACTGAGATGCAGAGCTTGTGAAGTTTGGGGAATGCTGAGCAACTGGCCAGGCGCATTTTGGCACCCACAGTGTGTTAAGGTGGGGCGGGGGTGCAGAGCTCACTGGGAGCTGCATCAGCACCCAGTGATGGAAGGTCGTGCCTTGCACGCCTTGATGAACAGTGTCTGAGGTCTGCAAGTCGAGGGCCCGGCATGACCCATGGGGCGCGTCTGGGCAGGAGAGACAGAACACTTGGGTTCCAGCACCGGCAGCAGCTGGCTCCTGCCCCCAGGGACAGAAAGTGCCAGGATGCTGTACACTAGTCCTCCAAGCCCCCAGGTCTGCTGGTTGCTACCATCTTACTGCTCCCCACAAGACACCACAGTCCTAGAGCCCAGGGCTCATTAAAAGCACTATCAGATGCATTGTTTCACCTCAGCCCCACAGAACGAGGGTTGATAAGGCATTTTCCTAGAAAAGGAAACTGAGGGTCAGGGAGGCAGTGAGCTGTCCAAGGTTACACAGCTGGTATTGGCCATGCCAGGCCTCTGTCTCCAGGGTCTAAATCCCGTGTTCTTTCCACACTGCCCATGGTGTTAACGGTCCTGGTTCTCTGATTTATCTTTCTGGTGACTTCCCCCAAAGTAGCGACCATGAGAAATGCCCATGAAGGAGGAGATAATAGCCTGCCATTCCCACAGCACTTGCACGTTCTCATCCTCGATTTCATTTACTTTTCCCAGGTCCTGACTTTCCCCCAGATTGGTTTTGTAACCTCAGGCTGGTCAGTTTCCCTTGCTAGGTTCTGGGTTTCTGTTCTGCAAACTGGACTAACTCAGGGGTCACAACACGTGTCGACAAATGTGGCCACAGGGAGGTAGGGGCCTGGCTCTGTGCAAATTGGAGGCCAGTCCTTTGGCCCTGAAGCCTCGGTGGCAGGTGTGCCCACAAGGTCCCTGCTCCCCCATGGTGGTGGCCCTAGGGGAGGAGATGGCCCTGAATCATCTTCTTTGGAGAGCTTGGGGGAGCTAGTTCCAGGGCATTCCCTAGGGGTTAGCGGGGTGGGGTTACCAGGCCGGTTCAAGTTCCTCCATCTGTTACGGAAGGGGTAGGTGCTGTGGAGTCCTGCCTAAACCTAACTGGCGGCCTGGGGCGAATCTTGACACTGTGGCCCCTTCCCTCCCACCACCCCCCCTGAGGACGACAGACACAAAGCCAAACCAACAGATCCTACTAGGCTTCCCAAAAAGCCCTGATGCGAAGCCAGAAGTAAATGCAGAGTTGACCGTCCTGCCTCCACCCAGGCTGCCCCTTGCTGGGTCTGCCGGACTGACATCTGGGCCTCCCACAATCCTCCCCCAGGATAACCAGTCTCATCCCCTCCCCTCTTCTCCCCGGAGCAGATGCTCCTGTCGGGTTCCTCACCACCCGCCCCCCACCCCCAAACAGTCGCTGCCTTCTCCAGCTCCTGTGACTTTGCTCAGCTGCAGCTGCCCCCTTCCGTGGGGAATGGTCTCCCCCTCCTGCCCTCCCCCGCAGCCTGCCCCTACCGACTGCCTCTCGCCTAGATGCACTCTCTTCTCCGGGTACCCGGTGTTTTGCACCTCGCTTATTCCTGCGAGGGCAGAGCTGTTTGTGTTCCAACATCCCTTCCCTTCGTTACAACATATGCTTCTCGAGCCCAGGAAGCATGTGGCTACATCTCTCTATTTGCTGTGCCTACAGCGATCCTTGGCATTGAGAAGGTGCTCCACAAATGTCTGTCCAACGTATGAGTGAGTGAGAGGATGAAAATAATCATGAGCAGCGTCAATAGAGCAGTCATCACGTGCCAAGCACCCTTCTGAGTGCCGTATACCCACCATCTCACTTCATCCGAATGGATTTTACAGGATTTTACAGATGTGGAGACCGAGGCACCGAGGTTGGCCACAGTCACTAACCCACCCACGGTCTCTCTGGGTGGCGGTCCCCGTGTTGACAAGCCTCAGGGGCTGGAGGTGAGGGATGTGAAATGTCACATATCCTCTCTCTGACACCTGCCAGAAATCGTTGGTTTCTTCCAGAAATTCAGGAAGAGCTGAGGCTCAGTTAAAGGGGCTTGGGAAGGGTCTTGTGTTCTTGAAAAGCAGCCGTGACTTCATAACATCAAAGCTGGGCCAGCAGGCAGAAGTGACTGGCTTGGTGGCAACTGAAAAACCTGCCTGAGGGACACTGGTAGGGCACAACCCATACCGTGTGAGTGCCAACTAATTCTGGTGCCTGTCCTCTGGGACAGGAGTGCTGTGGACAGGGAGAGCCTTTGGGTTAGGGGAGGGGAGCAATGTGGGCACGGGGGCCTGGCCCTGCCCCTTCCTGGCTGTGACCTTGAACATGTCCCTTACTGCCTCATCCCTAACTCAGGGCTGCTACGTACCTCATGGCATGGCTGTAAGGCTGAGATAGTGTGTGTGATAACATTCGGTAAACTGTGAAGAGTTACACAATTCTAAGTTCTCATCGTTATGAAAAGTAACACAAAAGCTGAGGCACAATCTCGCTCTTCGCTGATCATTTTGAGTTTCCAAACACACCCTAGTGTTTTTTTTTTTTTAAGTTTATTTATTTTGAGCGAGAGAGAGACAGAGACAGAGAGAGACAGAGACAGTATGAGAGGGGGAGGGGCAGAGAGAGAGGGGGAGAGAGAATCCCAAGCAGGCTCTGCACCCACGAACCATGAGATCATGCCCTGGGCCAAGATCAATAATCAGACGCTTAGCGGGCTGAGCCCCGCCCCCCCTCTGCTCCTTGTATCTCTTATCCCAAACACCTCACCCTTGATCTCTCATCCTCTGCAGCGTGTTTCTTTCTTCCCCTTCAAGACCAAACTTCTTGGATACTTGTCTTCACAGGTGGTCCTAATTCTCTCATCACCCGTTCACCCCACCCCCACCCCCATTCCCCCCAACTCCAGCAAAGCCACTCTTATTACTGTCACAGGTGGCTTTCACGTGGCCACATCTAGGGACAGGCTTTCGGTCCTCATCTCCCTCAGCATCCCAGCTGCACCCAGTGTGAGGGCCTGCTCTCTCTCCACTCCCTCTTGAAGCACCCTGCACTCTTGGCTTTGAGGACGCATGGTGTCCTGGCTCCTTTCCCTCTCTGGTTCCCCTTCCTTTTCCTCTTTACAGGTTCTTCCTTCTCTCCCTGCTCCTGGGCCCCTTTCTCCTCTCTCTGTCCCCTTCCACTGGTGGATGACATCCATTCCCACAACCGACAACCCCCACATTTTCATCCCCGACCCGAATCCCTAGTCCGAGCACAGACTCCTACATCCGACGGCCTGCCTGACATTTCCCCTTGCATGCTCCGCACTAGTCTCCTATGGAACGTGCCCAAAATGGAAGTATGATTGCTCGGCACCCCCCTTCCCTGCAACGGGCACCCTGGTGCCAGCCTTGCTCT